TCTTCTTCTTCTTCTTCTTCTTCTTCTTCTTCTTCTTCTTCTTCTTCTTCTTCTTCTTCTTCTTCTTCTTCTTCTTCTTCTTCTTCTTCTTCTTCTTCCTGTCTCTCATTCAGGACTCCACATCCTGCAGCTCATACATGAGTGCAAGTTGGGCCCAGACGGAGGAGGGTTCTGGAAGTACGCCTATGATGGGAAAGACCTCTTGGCCCTCAACATGGAGATCTCCAACTGGAAGGCCTGCGTGCCACAGGCCGAGATCTTAAAGGAGAAGCTGAATGGCCTCCTGGGAGATCCCCGTGAGCGCAAACACCACCTGAACGAGACCTGCGTGGAGTGGCTGGAGACATACCTGGGCTATGGGAAGGAGACCTTGGAGAGGACCGGTGAGGCTCCAGATCTCTCCCTCCCCCAACATATTATTGAGCTACATCAAGAGGCGGATACCTCTGAAGATAATAGGATTACTCCTGAGGAAGAATTGGGACGAAATGAGCTTAAATCTGGGTTCTCATTGAGAGATGGATGGACTTTTCCTTGTTTAGAGAGATGAATGGACATTTCCTGCAATATTATAAAGAATTAATTAATAATGTCATGCAATGTGTTCATATGCTAAGATTGACTAAATCTGGGGTGTCAAACATGCGGCCCGGGGGCCGGATCAGGCCCCCGGAGGGTTTCCATCGGGCCCGCAGTGGAACTGGCCCTCTCCTGCCTCCAGTTCTGCTGCTGCTGCTGCATCACAGCTTGCTTCGCCAGACTCTCTTAATCACTCAGCCATTTCGTGTTTTAACCTGGGTCCTCAACTCAGAACTCTGAGCATGAGATTTCTGTGGTGGATGCCAATAAATCAAAAGTAGGTTTGCAGCTTACAGAGCTAATGTTTTAAGCATGTTTTTATTTTAAGTTAAAAAAATATTTGTGTTTGTGTCTTTTATAAAGTTTATCTCTCCGCTACCTGGCATTACACGACACACATACAGCCCATCAAGGTCTCATTTATGTCAGATCCGGCCCTCAGAACAAATGAGTTCGACACCCCTGTGCTGAATGTTTTCGCCAACACGTCACTGTGTCCGTTTTTTGCTGTATTTTCTGATTTGAGACCTGGGACGTGTGTGTGTGTATGAGTGCATTTCTCACTTGGTTCACAAAAAGGAATAGGAAGCATCATTTAGCAACAAACCAACAAGCTGAAATGTGGGTTAAGGAAGGATATTATCCGTAAAACCCCGAACAAGCTCACTGGGTCAGTCTCAGAGCCCCCATTTACTTTCCCAGTACAGGCTGGAGACTCCTCGTCCGTGGTCTCTCGGAGGTGCCGCAGGTTTGGTCCATTCCATCTGGGGTAGGACTGGATGACCTCAAAACGGGGTCCCTGCAAGGGCCAGCCAGTCTCCATCCCACCAGCCTCTGACATCTTCTGTTAACACATATCAATGTTGCTGTTTCCACAGTTCTCCCGACCTTGAGAGTGGTGCACAAAAAGGGTGCCGCTGGCCAGGAGACCCTCACCTGCCAGCTCTACGGTTTCCACCCCAAGAAGAGCGAGTTCACCTGGATGAAGGATGGCAGAGACCAGAAGCCGCACACCTTTACAAGGGGTGTCCTCCCCAACTCGGACGGGACCTACTACACCTCACTCAGCATCAAAGTGGAGTACAAGGAGAGGGACCACTACTGGTGCCGAGTGGGGAACAGCAGCCTTCCAGTCCCTCTGGATAAGGCCGTGGAGGAGCCAGGTGAGAGATTGTGGGGGCAGGGCCGGCCCGAGGTGTTACTGAGCCCTAGGCAAGGCCAGCTTGGGGCGCCCGCACCCCCAGGCGATGCCAACCTCCCGGTGGGGCCCGGAAACCGGGAGGGAGGGCAGGGCGCCGCCATCACCCCTGCAGGCAAGCGTCGCCCAGAGACGGGTTTTTTAAAAAGAGTTTTAAGAGCCCCCGTCCGTCCGGGGACTATTTGGCCCACTGGAAAGCCACCTGTGGGATCCCCCCTGGGCCCTGCGGCAGCTGCGCCAGCTGCTGACGACATCCCAGGTGCGGGGCGGTGGGGCGAGGAGGAGGCGCCGCCAATGGTGCGAGCCCACTCCGACATTGGCCGGAGCAGGGGGGCTGAGCGGCGAGACAGCGCCCGGAGAGAAAGTGCAACTCCCGTGCCCTCCTCCGCCACCGCAGCTGCTCCATCCCGGGTGTGGGGCGAGGAGGAGGCGCCGCCGATGGTGTGAGCCCGCGCCAACGTCAGCCGGAGCCGGGAGGCTGAGCGGTGAGGCAGCGCCCTGCTGGAGAGCAGTTTGGTGCCCTAAGGACCGGCTCACGCTCTAGGCGAATGCCTAGTTCGCCTAGCGGGTGAGCCGGCCCTGTGTGGAGGGAGGCTGGCCCCTTGGGGACGGGGCCTGGCAGAGGAGGAGGAGAAGAAGAAGAGGAGGAGGAGGAGGAGATTGGATTTATACCCTGCCCTTCACTACCAAAAGGAGTCTCAGAGTGCCTTACAAACTCCTTTCCCTTCCCCTCCCCTCCCCACATCAGACATCCTGTGAGGTAGGTGGAGCTGAGGGAGCACTTTTGAGAACTGGTCTTGAGAGAACAGCTCTGAAAGAAGCCCTAAGGACCGGCTCGCGCTCTAGGCGAGACTTTTATCTGGGGAGAACCGGGTTTGATTCCCCACTCCTCCACCTGCAGCAGCTGGATGACCTTGGGCAAGCCATAGTTCTGTCAGAGCTGTTCTTGAAAAAGAGCAGTTTCTTGTCAGAGCTCTCTCAGCCCCACCTACCTCACAGGATGTCTGATGTGGGGAGGGGAGGGGAAGGGAAAGGAGTTTGTAAGCCGCTCTGAGACTCCGAGTGAGGGGCAGGGTATAAATCCAACGTCATCTTCTTCATCATCCAGAATGAGAGAGAAGCAGGAAAGGGGAATTGGTCCCTGAGTTTACAATCTGCATATCAAAGAGGCCAGTGGCAACGAAGTAGATACAGGAAGGAAAGGTCAATGTGCCTGTCTAGCTATCTAGTCTCTCTTGCCACTCAGTCTGGAGGTCTGAGGCAATGGACATTGCATCTGGAACTTCCAACAAATTTTAGGGGTCCAGGGATCCCCAACTCGATTAGGGATCTTTCCTATGGGTGGGTAATAATAATAATAATAATATACTTTATTGTCATTGTACATAGTACAATGAAATTAGAGATGCAATCATTTCGGTGATCTACAACAATATTCATATACACTCACACTCCATTCACAACTGTCCCATAACTCCCTTAAGGTTCACATAACAACTTAAAACCACCAATGTCACCCAAATTCCAATTTCATACAGCATTTAAGGCAATAATAGCTCTCGAAAAAAAACTATTTTTTAATCTATTTGTCCTTGCTTTAATTGTCCTGTATCTTCTGCCCGAAGGCAGTAGTTCAAACAGGGAATGTTCAGGATGTGACAAGTCCTGCAAAATGTTCTTTGCTTTTTTCAAATATCGAGAACTGTACAATTCCTCCAGGAATGGGAGGGGGCAGCCAATGATCTTCTGGACTGTAATAACAACTCTCTGGAGTGCTTTCCTCTCCACAGCCGTACAACTGGCAAACCAGGCACAAACACAATATGTTAAAATACTCTCTATTGAGCAGCGTCTATTGATCAGGGTGGAGTCTGGTTAGGGAACTCAGGCCTCCAGAGGGAGAGAAACACAGCGAGAACAGTTGCCTTAAATGAGAAGTAAAGGTAAAGGTAAAGGTTCCCTTGCTCGAAAGCCAGTCGAGTTCGACTCTAGGGTTGCGGTGCTCATCTCCGTTTCAAAGCCGAAGAGCCAGCGCTGTCCGAAGACGTTTCCGTGGTCATGTGGCCGGCATGACTAAACACCGAGGCGCACGGAACGCTGTTACTTTCCCATGAGAAGTATTTACTTCTAAAACCATACACAAGTAAAACTCAATAGCCTGTATTCAATATCAATACCCAATAGCATATAGAAAAATCCCGATACCTGATATAGTGTTCACTTCAGAAAGAACAAGGAATTCCTGGACTGTGTGGACCAAGACCTCACTCAAGCCAAGGTGGGGTGTTCGCCAAGCAGCCCTGAACAAAGCCCAAAGCCTCCTTTTTAAACTCTTTTCAGCCAGTAGGAATCAAGGGAGGAGTTAATTAAAATATACCAAGACTGCGGTCACACACAATAAACAATCCACTTTCAAACTGGATTTTTACTGTGTGAGCTGGCAAAATCCAGTTGGAATGTGCATTGAACGTGGATTAAAAGTGGACTATTTTGAGTGTGCATGACCACAGCCCAAACCGTCCGAATACCAGCCCATCTTAAGATGGACTTTTGCTAGTATGAACTTTCGCCTAGATATATTTTATGAACTGCAATATCAAAAAGACCTGCGGTGGCTCAAATGGTTAAGACGCTGAACTGCAGGCTGTGGAAGGTCGGTAGTTCAGCAGTTCAAGACCCGAGTGTGCCGCATGACGGAGTGAGCTCCCTTCTCTAGTTCCAGCGCCTGCCAACCTAGCCGTTCGAAAGCAAGAAATTGCAAGTAGATAAATAGGGACCACTTCGGTGGCAAGGTAACAGCGTTCCGTGCGCCTTGGTGTTTAGTCATGCTGCCCACATGGCCACGGAAATGTCTTCGGACAGCGCTGGCTCTTTGGCTTTGAAACGGAGATGAGCACCGCAACCCTAGAGTCGGACTCGACTGGCTTTCGAGCAAGGGAACCTTTACCTTTACCTTTACAAAAAGATCTAGACAGATACTGTTTAGGCTTTGAAGGCCATGGAATGTGAATTCAGGCAAAGGGACGTCTACAGGGCAAGGCTTTCGTTTTTAACACTTAGGCTGCCGGCAAAAGAGCAAAGGCTCATGGGGACTTCTGAACCAAGACACCCAAGTCGGTTATAGCCAAACCTACATAGCACAGAAAAACCGAAAGGCCCAGGCTCACTGAACCCCAATTTCTGCCACAGCTCTTCTTCAGCTGTAATAAGGTTTTAGGGTTTCCCCCCCGACGATCTGGGCCACGCCCCCAACGTGCTCTATGTCGTGCGTCACCTCTGACGACGCAGCTTCGGGGGGCGGAGTTCCCCCTGGGGCCTGATTCCGCCGCGGCAGAAATCGGGTTTCCAAAGCGGGGGTTTCCCCGCCCCCCGCCCCCACTTGGCAGCCCTAGTTAAAGGGCCTGGGGGCAGGGTGTCCAGGGGACCTTTGGGGGCCCATCTCTGGTGGGTGCCTGAACACCCGCAGCCACCTCTCTTCCTACTCTCTTGAGAGAGGGGAGGGAAAGGGGTGGCTGTGGGCCAGGGGTGTAGACTTTCCAATTTCTCGGGGGGGGGGGCCGGGGCTGGGCCAGAGGCATTGCTGTGCTAGGAGCAAGGGTGGCTCCCGGGGGAGGCTGAGCACCTTCCTGAAAATTTCAGCGGGGGCTGAAGCCCTGCCGCCCCCTGCCGCCCCCCACAAAGATTACGCCTATTCCTTTACCCGGAGAATCCCTGCCTGAAGCGTTGGAGGGCAGCGGCCCGGCTGAATAATGACATTCATGCCTCCCTTTCATCTTCAGTACCCATCTGGGGGCTCGTCCTGGGCATCTCTGGGGGTGTCTTGCCAATTGGCATCTCGGTCATCCTGGCTGTTGTCATCTACATGAGTAAGTAAGCAGGGAAAGCCTTGGTTGGGTAGAGAGATTGTGTGTGCGAGCGTGTGATTCTTGTGGTGGATCCCCACTCGGGGTTGTGGGGGTGGAAGAGGGCCTCTGGCCCTGACAACCATTTAGCTTAGCACTTGGATGGGAGACCACACCAAGGAAGTCCAGGGTCCCTGCCCCAGAGGCAGGCAATTTCAAACCATCTCTGAACATCTCTTACCTTGACCGATTTCCTGAAGGAGAGGAGGAGGGTCAGGGGAGAGGGCTTCCTGGAGCTGCCGGTACTCGTGGGTTGTCCCTTAACCTAGAGTCTGTTAGGAAGAGAGACGGGGGAGGTCCTGCCCGGTAGAGACTGAGACCCCCCCTTCCTCAGTATCGCTCAATAGGTGGGACTGGATGATCTCTGGGGGACCCTTCCAGCTCTGACTTTCTGATTCTCTCTCTGCAGAGAAACGCCGACCACAGGGTGGCTATGCCTTAACCTCAAGTGAGTGACTCCCCCCTCTTGAAATATTGTTTCAACAAGGCTGGGGAGGGGGAGGAGAAGTCTTTGTGGGGAATGGAGTGTCAGGTTTTCTGCGCTTCCATTTGTCGGTTCATTTGTATGTTTCATATCACATTAACTGAGGGGGGAGAGAGGGTTTTTGAGAGGGAAATGGGAGGGCAACAGGGGCTGTGGCAGTTGGCGCCCCCTTCCCAGAAGACCCCCAGCATACCTGACTGTCACCTTCAGGACCAAGCAACCAGCACTCTGTCTGGCCCACTGATAGTAAGCATGTGGGAGTTGAGACCCCCGTCTCAAAATACGGAGGGGGCACTCTGTCAACAGGTTCGAACCTGCCTCTGTGGGGAATGGAGAAGGAAAAGATTTCCCCAGTTTCCCTTTATCTCCATGTGGTGGTTTGCTTGTATGTTTTACGTCACGTTAATTGACAGAGAAGGCGGGTATGCATGGGTGGGGGTTAGTGGGAGCGCAAAAGGGGCCGTGGCAACTGATGCCCCCTCCCCACAAGCCCCCCCTGAATCTGACACCCGCTCTCTCTTTCCTTCAGGAGATAGTGACCAGGGGTCTGACAACGACAGCGACGGTAAGTATATTTGAGTGTGGAACGATGCTCCCTCTAAGCTGTGTGAGCAGAAATTCTGAACGGTGAGCGACTGGCATTAAAGTAGGAGGCTGAAGTTGGTTCCTTATTCGCTCTTCCTTATTCATTCCCTATTCGTTACTTATTCGTGTAGTCATTCAGAAACACTAAGGAGAGTGAGTTGGAAAGCTCTGAACCCCAAAAGAGGGTCTGGACCACCACATATCATATACCCCCACATTCACAGGACTCTCCCCTTCGAGGGGACATATGCGGTGTGCTGGTCCAAAGCGCGGTTCTGGTGCCAGCTGCTCCAAAGTGCAGTGTCCCCAGGACAAACACACAGGCAGGCACTGGGGCCAGGCTGCACCCCAAAACAATAAGTGGACCACCCCAAACGACACATCCCCACGCTCTGGGGACTGTGCCCTGCAAGGTGACATGCAGAGATGCCCGGTCCAAACACCGGTTCTGATGCCACGAGCTTCAGTTGCACCAGCTTCCGTTCACAGGGCTTCCCTGAGGCCTGTATTTCAAATTTGAATAAGGAAGTGCCCCCTGCACCCAAAATAGGGTCTCGACCACCACATATCATATACCCCCACATTCACAGGACTCTTCGAGGGGACATTTGCGGTGTGCTAGTCCAAAGCGCGGTTCTGGTGCCAGCTGCTCCAAAGTGCAGTGTCCCCAGGACAAACACACATCTCTGCATGTCACCTTGCAGGGACACCGCACTTTGGAGCAGCTGGCACCAGAACCGCGCTTTGGACCAGCACACCGCATATGTCCCCTCGAAGGGGAGAGTCCTGTGAATGTGGGGGTATATGATATGTGGTGATCCAGACCCTCTTTTGGGGTTCAGAGCTTTCCAACTCACTCTCCTTAGTGTTTCTGAATGACTACACGAATAAGTAACGAATAAGGAATGAATAAGGAAGGGCGAATAAGGAACCAACTTCAGCCTCCTCATTAAAGTGGAGAGCAAGTGATTTGTCTGCGGCATGAATTAATTTGCTCTCTGGAGCCCTCCCTTCCAAAAATGTGTGAGCTGGAGGCTAAGAAACTGTGAGCTAGCTCACACTGACTCAGCTTAGAGGGAACACTGGTGGAGACCCTTCTCTGAAGTGGGGGGGGGAGGGGGCGCTCTGTCAACTGCCTCTGTGGGGCATGAAGAAGTAAAAGAGTTTCTGGGCTTCCGTTTTATCTCCATGCGCTTGTGGATTTGTATGTGCCCTGTCAGGTTAACTGATGGGAAGGAGGGTTTTTGTGTGTGCGTGCGGGGGGGGGAATGAGAGTATAAAAGGGGGCTCCCTCCCCACTAGACCCCCCCCCATGAACCTGACTCCCTCTCTCTTCTTCCATCAGCGGATAGCGGCCAGGTGTCTAACCGCACCCGTGATGGTAAATATATTTGAGTGGGGACCCCTATTAATAGGCCTGTACCTGCCTCTGTGGGGAATGGAGAAGGAAAAGATTTTTCTGGGGTTCTGTTCATCTCCTTGTAATGGCTGGTTTGTATGTTTAATATCAGTGGCACCTGGTATTTTTGGCCACTGTGTGACAGAGAGTGTTGGACTGGATGGGCCATTGGCCTGGTCCAACATTGGCTTCTCTTATGTTCTTATGATGGGGAAGGAGATTTGTATGGGCGGGGGGGGGGGGGGAAAGGGGAGGGCAAAGGGGCCCATGTGACTGAAGCCCCCTTCCCACAAGACCCCCCAGTGAACCTGACTCCCTCTCTCGTCCTCCTTCAGGTGTCCACATCCAAATGTTTTCCCGTCCCATAGATGGTACGTATATTCGATTGGGGACCAGCATCTGAAAGAGGGAGGGGGGCGCTCCATCAACAGGCTTGTACCTGTTGGTGTCGTGGTTAAGTGTGCGGATTCTAATCTGGGAGATTTGGTTCCCCACTCCTCCGCCTGCACCTGGCTGGGTGACCTTGGGCAAGCCATAGTCCTGATAAGAGCTGTCCTTGAAAAAGAGCCGTTTCTGTCAAGAGCTCTCTCAGCCCCACCCACCTCACAGGGTGCCTGTTGTGGGGAGGGGAAGGGGAAGGAGTCTGTAAGCCACTCTGAGACACCTTTGGGTAGTGAAGGGCGGGGTACAAATCCAATCTCTTCTTCTTCTTCTCCAATCTCTTCTTCTTCTTCTTCTTCCTCTTCCTCTTCCTCTTCTTCCTCTTCTTCCTCTTCCTCCTCCTCCTCCTCCTCCCCCCCCGGACTCTAATCTGGGAGAACCAGGTTTGATTCCCAGTTTCTGTTTATCTCCATGTGATGTTGAGCTTTAAATTTTATGTAACATTAACTGGTGGGGGAAGGAGCGTACGTGCAGGGGAGAGAGGGGTTAAAGGGAGTGCAAAAGGGGCTATCGTGATTGGAGCCTCCTCCTTATAAGCCTCCCAGTGAACATGGCTCCTGCTCTCCCTTTGGTGTAGTGGTTAAGTGCGCGGACTCTAATCTGGGAGAACCAGGTTTGATTCCCCACTGCTCCACTTGCAGCTGCTGGATGATCTTGGGCAAGCCGTACTTCTGATAAATTTATTTTATTTATTTATTTTGCGATTTCTATCCTGCCCTACCCAGTGGCTCAGAGCTGTTCTTGAAAAAGAGCAGTTTGTGTCAGAGTTCTCTCAGCCCCACCTATCTCACAGGGTGTCTGTTGTGGGGAGGGGAAGGGAAAGGAGTTTGTAAGCCGATCTGAGACACCTTCGGGTAGTGAAGGGCGGGGTACAAATCCAATCTCCTCCTCCTCCTCCTCCTCCTCCTCCTCCTCCTCCT